CAGCAAATACTTCCAGTTTGCGATGATCATTACAAACAGATTTCTTTATTTGAATCAACAGGTCATCTCCTGACGTTTTATTAGGAAGTATCATCCCTTTAATAAGATTTTCTGAATGATATAAGAGCACTAGCTCAATCACAAGACTTTGGCTTGATGTGTAATGAGCAAGAATTCTACAGGCTGGATGCTCTAAATTGATTAAAGTAATAAACAAATATTTTCATTATTAAACTCACTCTCCATATCTATTCCATCAGCTACTCCATTCTCTCCTAATTCCCTCAATACTGATACCAATGAATAGATACTAGGACCACCTTTCTTCTGTACATTATCAGCTTTCTGCAACCATGCTTTGAGACACTCTCGTAGACAACTGTCAACATTTCTTTCATTATCTCTAATAGCATCCAGTGTGGTAGGGGATAGCCCAAGATAAAGACCAAGATCATAGTAACTGGTTCCTGAGTAACCATGCCTTCTGAGCAATTTAAGTACCTCAACAAGATCAGTAACTATTAAATAATTGTATTTAGTATAAAAAATAAGTCACTAAACATACTTTGCAGTTGATTTGTATTGACTGCTGGTCCAGGAGAAGCCATTGAGCTAAAGTTTTGCAAAGAAGGGTGGGGCTCAATAACAACGCCCACGTGATCTGGCCTAATTTAAGTAGGAGGGGCTAAGCCGCCCTAAAGTCCAAAGCTATTTTTATCGATTTTTATTTTGTGATTCTTGATTCAGCTTGAAGGTTTGAACTGAGTGAGTCTGAGGTAGTCTCATCTTTTGTAAACTGATAATTCTATTTTATGTACTATTAGTGTCTATATATTTATCAGTAGTACTGGAGTAACTGATGGATCAGTGATACAATCATTGATACAAGTTATGACTGATGAGAATTACCAGCTCACTGGACCCTGACTCTAAGAAGTTAGTCTATAATTATTATTTATTTATACTACTGTATGGGTACAAAATATCACGTGGGATTGATTTTCATTATTTTTGTTGTGTGAAGTTTTAATCACAGTCCAGTGAAATTCTTCATATGACCACACCTTAGAGTGCTTTAAAAAGAAATTGGGAAATTTAAACACTAAAAATTGATATTTCCTGAAATCATGAAAATTTAACACCACAAATATTTGTACCAGTACAGTATCTGTTATTGTTACAGTACATCCTTGATTATCAGTACCTCTTTTATATGAACCCTCATTTATCTGAACGCATGGCTGTCTCTAATGCGCATGCTCAGACTAGTTAATTTATTAATAACCGGTTAAAATGGCTGCTGCTGCAAGGAGCTTACGGAGTTTAACTGAGAGAAATACCATTGAAGAGAAGACTAAGATGCTCTGCAAGTTAGAGAAAGGAAAGTCATGCACATTTATTCTTCAAAAAAGCATAGGATAGGTCAGTCTACTGTATTCTGCGCTGTATTTCACTTATTTAGACTATTTCAGCTATCTGAACATCTCTCCCAATAGAGGTGCACAAAGGTGTTTGACGTACTGTATTGCTGTTGTATGAGGAGTAAGGAGAGAGAGAGATTAAAATGGCCATAACTTTAAAAATTGAAGTCGGAATCAGCTCAAACTTTCTACACAGCATAAGTACATCAATATGTATCAAAAAATGTAATAAAAATTAGGTGACTTCCGAGCCATTTTTGGAGAAAGAAACCATGGGCTATAGCCTTGGGTATTTGAGATAATTATTGTAATTATATTTTTATTAATAATTCAATGACTCTCCTCCCTATAGTCTGAAGAGTTATTACGTGTGTATCCTCCATATATAAATTATTTTGAAGTCACTAAGGAGGCTCTCAGTTCCTGTGATTGTCAGTTCCCAAGGTTTCATGCTTTCCTTAAGTGTAATGAGTCCAAACCAGAGTATGGCCGC